CCAATTGACTCCTAGATTTCTTAAATCATCATTCCATTGCCCGTCTCATCTATGGATTATTTGCAACTTGATCCATGAACTTTCATTTTCTTCCACTTTGCCCCTTTTTAATCATTTCTTCCAAATTTCAATATTTTCCATCAAATTGTGACCTAGATCAAAACATAAGAGTAATGAGTGCATTTCGACATCAAATAATTATACGAATGCAACAATTAAGAGGGGAAAATATCATATTTTACACTCTTATCAACGGTCTTTATACGAGGCGTGTTTTGTAAAATTTCTTTTGTTAAAGTGGTGGAGGTATTTTATTCATTTTGTAAATCTTATCCAGGTTGACTACTAACATCTGTTTATCATCTTTCGTAAACTGTAACTTCTAAATATATATTATGTGAAGTGTAATAGAACTCTTTATGCTTTGCGTGATTTGTACATCTCCTTTCACAATATGTGACGTTAAAGAAAATACATTTAGTCTTTGTCATAAATTGAGTTTAGTGATGTTAAATGATTAGCCCACAAATCATGTTTGATAACCTCGAAAAAGTGTAAAGAAGAGAATTGATTCTCATCGATCATCTTTTTTTTTATCAGTAAATATAAATTTCATTGATCAAAACTTTCATATACAAGTACATTAGGCATATCCGGACAAAACAAAGCCAATATTACATACAATTATTCCGGACATACCCCGGCAAAACAAAGCCAATATTATATACAATTACTCTGGGCATACCTGGGTGATTCTCATCTCTCATCTACTTTGGCACGAGGGGTTGAAACTGACAACCATCTTCTTCACAAGCTATTCTGGTCCTAGGACATTCATAGTTAATACATGCACTAATGTGAAGGACTTGAATGGTTCTACTTCCCTTCTTCTCTTTCAAGGTATAATAGGCCATCCAGGAAGTTGATTATTCTGCTAGATACCCTGAATTAGCAGATTATCCACAATATCTTTGGATTTGACTTTTGAGCCATCAACACTAAAATCTTTTTCTTGGGTAAACAATGTGAAGGAAGACTTTTGTTCAGCTGAATCTACTTTGAAGCAGTAGCTTGCTTTTTACGGACCATGAAGAGCTTGTCACATTTGTCGATAAGGGACTTCATAAAATTCTATTCCACACATTTGGTTAAAAGTCATAGATGATTTTTAAGGACATGAGTAGCTACAAGCCTACGAGTTGATAACTTATGTTTAAGCATTTTAAACCAGTAAATTAGACTCCAAAATGGATTCAGATTATTAAAATATCTGAGTTATAGCTATGAGATTTCTTTTACTTTAAACCGTCACCTTCCCCATGTATTCTTTTTCTAAGTGATTGATTTTTTGGTTTTGTTGGGTGCAGACTGACGCTGAGAAGATTTACAATATGCTCAAGTCCAACAGCATGGACCAACATTATGGATCACGACTATTAAGATGTGGCTTTTGTGGAGGAACTTCAACTTCTTTTAAGATCCTTTCTCCCGAGCCTGAAAATGGTAGGACTACAAGCTGCCTTGACAGTCCAGATTTAAGGGAAAAGGTCTGAATTTCTAAAAATATTTACAACCTAGATTAATTTCTTCAGATACCAACTGCACTGTTCTTCTGCTAAATATCATCCAGATTTTCTTTAGTTCATTTTTAGGCTCTTTTGATCCCTAATGGACAATATATTGAGATGTATACCAGCCCATCCCGATCTGGAGCCTAAAAACATTTTCTCGTTTTAAATTTAAATTCAGGATAAAGGAAGTGATATATGTTCATCTCTGTATTCTGCAGTAGTCTAACAGCTTCTATCCTTAAATTACAAATTGAAATAAATTCATTTATACACCATCTAAAATTCAATCTGTCCTCTGTGATATTTATGCCTTGGAAATTAATATTCTACTTGATTGCACCTGTTGGTTCTGTGAATATGTTCTATTGTCTAACTTCTGTATCTGTCAACAGTAGTTGTTGACTCGGTAAATTCTTTCTATTTGAATATATGTTAAATTGGAGTGACTAGTGGTGTGACTTGAGGAAAATCCATCTTGTTTCAAAGGAATTAAATTGTGAAAAGTATGCAGTAATTTGTACAAATGGTCATAAAGGTTTTGAAATCTGAATATGGTCAAATTTAAGTAAGGAAACTTATGCTGAAATTTAGTGGGCATATAAGAGATTCATGTTGATGTTGAAGTGAATTCTTGCAATTAATTTTTATTTGATCTTGTGAAATTGCAATGTGTTTCTTCCTTTGTTAGTGAAGATCATCGTATTGTGTGGAAGTCCCTAATTCCTTTTCATGCATCTGCTGAGCGTGTCATGTTTGTTGCCAGCTAGGTTTTTAGTGCTACTATTGATGGTATTGTCGGATTGAATATCTCAGAAGTTTAAAGCTGACTGATCTTTCCTACAGGAGTGTGGAGTTGCTCTGGTTTTCTTCAGGACACGTTATGCTGCTTTGGTTGCTTCAGAGGGTCTTCAACAACCTAATCCAATGTCATGGGTTACAGACTTGGCTCCAGAACCAAGTGATATATATTGGTCAAACCTATATGTACCGTATCGAATCTTTTGGATCCGTAAGATTGCCATCCTAGTGGCCTTTATTCTGTTTGTTACTTTCTTCCTTATCCCTGTGGTGTTCACGCAAAGTCTTGTTCATCTCGATAAGGTGGAGAAAATATTTCCCTTCATGAAGGACATTACAGAGAGGTAATGTGTTCTACTTTAGAAGTCAGTTCAATTGTCCCTTTTCCGTTACAATTGGTAACTGACATGCATATTTGGTATTGGTTCTTACTCGGTGAAGTAGCAGGAAAGAAGGGCTTCAAGAAAGATTAAAATGGGTGGTGATCAACTAATAACGTTCACTAACCTCAAATGTGTTTATGTACTAGAGAAAATATATGTGCAGATTCTAACATCAGTCTCGGGAAAGCAATTTTACTAAATCCATTTTCAATTTTTATTTGTATTTGAAAGGAAAATATAGCAAATTTAGGGATCCCCATCAGCACGGTTATTTCTCTTCATCTGTCCTTTTTTCCCACTTAACATGTACCACATATTTATATACTTAAAGATTCAAAAGATTAAAAGAAGCAGGTGACAATTTTGTGATCCGCAGATTCTAACTCTAATGACTAGGACTTAAAAAATTTTCCCTTCTGCCTTCTTGCAGGAGGTTTATGAAACAGCTGATAACTGGATATCTGCCAAGCGTAATACTCATGATCTTTTTGTCTATTGTCCCGCCAATTATGATGGTGTTTTCAACATTGGAGGGCTCAATATCTCGTAGTGGCAGGAAAAGAAGTACATGCATTAAAGTCCTTTATTTTGTAATATGGAATGTATTCTTTGCCAATATTTTAACGGAGGCTGCCATTGACCATTATCAAGATTCAATTATGAAATTGGGAGATCCGAAAACGATACCTAACCAGCTTGCCAAAGCAGTTCCATCAACGGTGATCTGTTGTGTCTTAAATTTTCACTTCTTCTCTTATAGTACCATCATGGTTGGTTTTATTCTAGTGTATAAGAATGTATTGTAATGTTGACCTTGAATTGCCATTTTTATTCTTTAAAAATGGTCATCGACATTTGGCCATTCCGTCTCTGAACGTTGAAATAAGCTTTTATGGAACTGGAACTACATTTTTAACCTTTTATTGTCAATATTTTCAGTAAATTTATCCACATAAGATTGGAACTGCTCGTGCTGCATTGTTCATGTTTTCAAACAACCCGTATATTTTGAGATCTCATGGCACTTATGATTTTATTTTTCGCAGGCTACCTTCTTTGTGACTTATGTCCTCACCTCAGGCTGGGCTAGCTTGTCCTGTGAACTGATTCAGCCATTTCCTCTTCTCTACAACTCATTTTATAGATTTATTCTTAGAAACAAGGATGATTCAAGTTATGGCTCTTATACCTTTCCATACCACACAGAAGTTCCAAGAGTCCTCCTCTTTGGACTTCTGGGCTTCACTTGTTCAGTATTGGCTCCTTTGATATTGCCCTTCTTGCTGGTTTACTTTTTCCTTGCCTATTTGGTGTACCGTAATCAGGTGAGCATTTCCTATGGATGTGTTCCACTCTTTCTAAACCTTTTCCAGTTCACACAGTTAAGAATGATCGCACAAGTTTTTGTAACATGCATTAATGTCTTTTCCCTCACAAGAACTTTTTTTATGTTTGTTGACTTGTATACAGATTTATTTTACTTTAATTCTTTTCAGAAGTTCTGCTAGTGTAAAGAAGTATGAATTTTGTTATTCGTATTTTCACTATGTGCTTTTGTCTTTTGTTTAGAGTATTGTAAAACTTGCGTCTTTTATGTTCACCTATTTGAAAGGCTCATGTTCCTTGTCTCCTGTTCTGATCATTTATGCTTGATTTGCGCATGATTACTGAGTTATTTCTTGATAGAGACGGTGGTACATTGAGACATCTCTTAGAAATTTTATTTACTTCACACTATAATGCTAACAGTTAGAAAATCTCTGTGTCTGTGTGCTTGTACCATGTACTTGACCATCTTCGTGCAATTTCTCTTCTGCGTTGTTCATGCATACAGTAATATACACTGATAATTTTGAAGTGCAGGAAAAAAATGCATTATAAGATATAACACACTGTTGTCTAGTTATGTGGAATATCTATCATTTGGTGTAACTATTATGACTAATGTTTTTAATCTCTAGATGCCTGATTACTGTGTTTCCTGATAGATTTTATTGGATAATCATGTGAAAAATTTCGTGAATCTTCTATTGACCTCTAACCAGTGTTTCTGATGTAGAATGGTAGACTGGAAGAGATTACAGGAAGAAGAATTAGGGAGAGAGAGAGAAACATTACTATAGAAAAATCTCAATAGTATTGAATACCAAAAATCAATGTCTGAAATATTCAACAATAGTATTCCTATTTATTATAATTAACTCTAGCAAAAGGGGTAAGTTAATAAAATAAACATAAAAATTATTATTATTATTACTTTCTCCTTCTTGGTTCTGTGGATACAAAGGTAATATAGGGGGAGTAGATAAGACGATGAGTTTCTCTTCGTAAAGTTTCAATTGACTTTCTCCTCATCTTATTTTTGGCCGGGGGGATTCCCCTTTTTTTTTTCCTCTGATCTTTTTCTTCTATTTCTGGCATTCTTGAAATTGCTTTTTGGATTGTCATTCCAATTTGGAAATGTATGTTTCAGATTCTTGATGTATATGTCACAAAATATCAAAGTGGGGGGCTGTATTGGCCAATCATACACAATACAACAATATTTTCATTGGTGCTGACACAAATAATAGCTTTGGGAGTTTTTGGAATCAAACGGTCACCAATTGCATCGAGTTTCACCATTCCACTGATCATATGCACGCTCTTGTTCCATGAGTATTGCAGGCAACGATTTCACCCAGTATTTAAGAAGACGCCTGCAAAGGTAATTTCTGGCAGGCAAAGACACTACTACATAGGATAAATAACATTGCTAGTTACTCTTCTTATGGAGAAATTTCATGCTAGCTGTTGAACTTTATTTTCTTCCAAATTAGTCGCCGAAGTTTGCCTTTTGTTTCAATTTGGTCACATAGTTAAAAATCCATTAGTTTTTCCAATGGAATGTCCCACAGGAAAGGCTTCATACTTATCTTCTATGGGAGACATTCTATTGTAGAAACTAAAGGATTTTAAGTGATCAAACGAAATAAAAAGCAAACTTGAGTAACCCCGAGCATTGTTCAACCCTACTCTACACTTAAGGATAGTACATTTTTGCACGAAAAAGAAAAAGAAACACAAGTTTTATCTATTTTTCATGACATTAGTTATCTGTAACATGCTAGTATCTTTACAGACAATCATTGATATGGATCGGGAAGATGAGCATTCTGGGAGGATGGAAGAGATTTATCAGAAACTTCCATCTGCTTATTTCCAAATCAACTCAGAATCAAGGAGTTTGGGTAAATCTTTGGAACTGAATTGCCCCGAGATTCAAGCTAATAGCAGGGAAACTGGGAACATCAGCAGGCTCGAAGATCTAGAGACTCCAGGTTTGATCCTCAGTTTCTTTGAATTTCTTTTTAAATTTACTTATTTACGTACATAGGTGTAAAGTGGGCTAGATTGTCCAAGCCCAGGTGGGCTGACATGACATGGCTCGGACGAGCCATTTGGCTAGAGCGAGCCCTCTAATATTTCCTGAAAAGAAGTAAGGGTAAAGGATGGGAGACAGATATTATTTGTTGGGTCTTGGGAGTTGGGACTCATCAATGCCCCTCGGGTTTTGATTGTTGGCTTTTTTAATTTTTGTTTAAATTTTCCATGCAAGATATATAAATAAAAATGTGACACTTCAACTTTTATCCCAGTTAACCTGGCACGCTTGGAAAGAACGCTTTATACACTTCTTAACAAACATCTTCATTCACTGTTCTCAATTTGTTGCTTCACAGGAAAAATGTCTGCTCGACTACCTTAATAATCTGGGGTTGGACGCAGCCGTTGGAGATAGAATTGCACGTAAAGCAGATTGAATGATTCGTATATGCATAATTTGTGCCTTTCTTGTCAATTCATATGTGCGATTGTCTTGAGTTTGGAATCCGACATGCACATTTATGAGGTTTGTATAAAAAAGGACGCTCGCGGAGCCCTTTGTAAACTTTATAGCAACAAGTTAGTAGCTGTGTGCCTGTGTATGGATATTAATGTTGTGTATATCCAATTTTTGACTCGTGTACAGGATGAAGAGAAGTGCAAGCATCTGAAATTTGGTTGTTGCATAAACATTGATGTTATGTATGAATGCCAATTTACATAGCCGTTGAGAAAATTGCACATTTTATTGAGATGCCTTCTGGGGGTAATATAGGGATGTGAACGAATCGAGTCAAGTTGACTTGCGAGCCGAAGCTCAAAACTCGGTCTTGACTTGAGTAAAAATGATTTAAGCTTTTTTGGCTTCGAGTGTCAAAAAATCTAGGCTCGACTCCAGCAAAGTCGGGCGGAGACAAATCCAATGTTTTTTTTTAAGAATTTAAAATGTGTAATTTATACAAATTATAAATTAAATAAAAGGAACACCCTTCCTCTTTTCTAAGAATTGGGATCAACTACAATCAATGTAGGCGAAGTTAAATTAAATACGAATAAAATATTTCTTATACAATTTTTCTTCATACAAATAAATTAAAAAAATGTATTTTTTAAAAATATTACGTATTTTTTCCTAACTAGTGTTGCCTTAACAAGCTAGCTGCACGTAGATGCCTTTTATCATTTCAATGATTTTTTTTTTTAATTCTATTTTTGTTATGAGTTGAAAATGGCCTGTGACACTAGTCGGCTTAGATGGCTCCTTGACTGGAGTAGAGCCTACTTGGGTTTTTTCAAAGCCAAGACACAAGCTGCTCGGGCCTGCAAGCCAAATTTACACAACTAGGGTGATAGCATCTTCCTAATCCCATGTTTGTCACTCATTATTTGAAAAACTAAAGAGTTTTGAATAGTATTTCTTCAAAAATGTGTGATTAAAAAATAAAAAAGTTATATTAGTTTATATTTAGAATATTTTATTTTATGAATGTGTGATGGAGAATGATACTATAACAAATAATTTAAAACTTTACAAGGGGCCAAATATGCACTAAATGTAGCTCTCTCTCTCTCTCTCTCTCGATCGATAATATTTATTAATGCTACTATTTTTACTTAATAGGTAAATTTAGACATAGGACAAGCCAAAACCATGGAAGGATTTTCATTTAGAGTAACTCTTTAGGTGAGAGAAAAATATATCCATCTTTCAAAAATGTTGATATAATGGTCATTAGACATAATGTTAAGTTTATTTTAAAACAAAATGTCTCATTCATCTGTTTGCCAAATTAATTAATGGTTAATAAATAGAATTTATGAAATGTATGGAAAATAAAAATATGCTATTTGTACACAGCGCTTGACACTCTGGTGTACGAGCCCTCTCACATGAGGAGGGCCCACTACAGTAAAAAAATCGTGAGATCCCTCATCATGTGAGGAGAGTGTACACTATAATGTCAATTTCGATGTACGTGTAGCAAAATTCTGGATAATAATAAATTGTAATTAAGAATGTGTGATTGAAATTATTGTTTGACGTCGGCTGAATCATAAATCATCTATAAATTTAGTCATATGTCATGATTAGTAGTCACCTATTGAAACGGAAGGCTGTCTTCCAAGATAGTATCAATTTAAACCACATGACAATTTCTAAACTAATAAAAAATAAATAAATAAAAACATCATCTATATCCTTGTTGAACCTTTAAGTTTCTATGCTCTGTTTGATTCTCATTTTTTTCAAAATATATTTTCTCTTTCTTCTTTTTAATTATACATTCTTTATTAAGAAAATATTACACGTAAATCAAAAAAAATTTCTTATTTCTCAACTACACGTTTTTCATCAATCTACTATTTTTAAAATGCAATTTAAAAAAAAAAATAAAAATAGGGCTCAAACACTCTCCAGTATTTTTTACTGTCATTTGGCATCAAATAATAACCTATGTTTTTATTGCCGAAAATGGCTATTGACCTTGTTGGGTTGTGATGACTTCTTCTCCTTTCTAGGGCAATGATGATTATCGGGCTAAAGCCCAATGCTGGTTTTCAAAGTAACTACAAGTGAAAATTACACCAATCACTACAAGTTAAATTAATATGCAAATTTTACATTTGCAACTTTTTTAATTCCAAATCTACTACAATATCTATAGTAAAAAATGATAAATAATAAATATATTCACTCCTATCACTAATTAAAGAAAAAGTTACAATCACTCTATCAAACGTGACATATCAAATACTACACATATGCCACCCATCAAATCCCTAACCCCACCCCAAATCATGTCCAAAATTCTCCAACCTTCATCCTCTCCATTTTAGTAGAGATCAAGAAGAATTGATTCCAAGAAATCTTCATTCATTGTAGAGTAATGGTAACAGGTCACACGGCTACTTGTTCGGAGGCCATAGTTGTAGATATGAAGATCCCCAAAATACCAATGGGGCTAAGAGGAGTATAGAAACCATTGTTCTCAGCTCTAGTTCTAATAAGAAGAAGTTGGCTCGAAAATATCAACCACAAGTAACAAACATCACTATATATATACGAATTTGATCTCTTAAGTATCGGCACTTAATTTATACTAAGTACCATGCTTAGGGGGCGCACTACAATCGGTAGTGTAATTAGTTTTAAAACAACCATTATCTTTTATCAACTATTGTAATATGCCATGTAACTCGATACTTAGGAGATCATGACTATATATTGTACACACACACACACACCATATATATATATATATATATATATATATATATATACACACACATATACATATACATGCGAATTTGAAGTTTGTTTTTCAACAATTATTAGTCTTTGCTTTTTTTCACTAAAGGCAAAAAACTGAACTTTTGGAATATATAAGATCACAGAATGCAATAAATCTGTAATACTTTCTTTTGACATGTTGTATATGTATTTTATCCCCATCCGAGATCCGATAATTAGGTACGAGCATAAATGACTATTCTGCTTTTCTAATTATTCTCATTAACTTAAATTTCATTTTCTTCAACGGTCCTATGAACTAATAACAGATATTGAAGTTTAGCCGAAGCTAAATATTGAGCTCATATTTTAACCGTTCAATAAAAAATACTTAAATAGTCACTCTATCCATTTTTTAGGGTGACAATTTTCGACACAAATTCATGTTCTCTACTCCGCTCATTCTCCAGTTCCCAATTCATCGAGATAGTTGACCAATTAAATTGATCTCACTCATTGATGAATCAAAGAACCATTAAAATCACGAAAAGATATATATAATCGTCTCAAGGGATTTAGATGAAATATATAGCGGTTTAGTGAAATTTAATTCTCCACACGATCATACTATAAAATTAAATTCGATACGCGATCCGTTCAATACACTCCAAATGTAATATGTCACCTTTAACTATTTCTATGATAAAGACAAATCACAAATCTAAATAGTACATTGGTCAACACTACAATATTCTAGTACAAGGTGTCAACCCTTAAACATTAGTTGTGAACAAATTATTGATAATCAAAATATAAGTTGTGTCATACTTTACTTCTCAATGCAAGTACCTAACTTATATTATCTCAAGTGATTATAGGTACTTTAATTTGCATGCTCAATAATAAATAATGCAATAAAATAACAATTTATTTATTATAAATGATTATTTTATCACAGCAAAATATACTATATGAGCATACGACCCAACAGTTGACGATTAGAATAACAGAATGCATGGGGAACACAAATCAGTATTACAGGAAGTTGAGTGACCTGAATAAGGACCTTTTCCTGATAATCGTCCAAGAGTTCAGCATATTACCGGAGTTAAGAACAATTCCTTAATATTTTTATGAAAGAACAGGATTGCATTCAAGATTTATTGAGCCGATCCATAACCTGCCTAGTTTCTCTACTTTGTCTAAGCCCAAAGATTCATCTTTCGGCAAATGCTTAACAAGTGGATCAGTATGATAAGATTCTGCTTTAGTAGTCACTTTTTTTTTTTTTTTTTTTATCCTTTTTCTGGACAATATCAGAATCCTCTTGATTAACCATATACACAAATAGACTGCATGTAAATTTACTACCAGTGGACTTCATCATCATAGTAATAAATTAACCAATATGTCCAAGACAATCCATAGCCACCAAAACTTATCCCGATTTTCAGCCGCCTCTTGAATGTAGCATTCTTTCTTTTAGAAAAATCCTTATACACAACAATAACTTCCTTGGAATTCATATGCATTTCATTGAAGATACTGGTTCATTTACGGTTAAACACTTAAACATACTCATAAGAAGCCATTCTTGAATCTATTTGATCTTTATCCACTTCCTCATATTCAGCAGTCAAAGCTTTATCAATGAAAATCCTGTTGGTTAATGAATTTTAATCATCACAATAGGAAATTAATTTTCTTTTGAATATTAAAACCATGTAAATAAGGATTTTATTGATTTTGAGATAATTGGATTATAAAATACTCACATATAGAAAGGGGAGATGATAACCTTTTGGAGGAGCTTTTAATAGTTTAGCCAATTGCTTCCTCCCTTAGATCTTCTCCCTTGTTCTTCACTAGGTGTATTTCCTTTTCAAGAAAGTGAAAAGTGGCTAATCCTAATTCTCATATAAAATATGTCAATAAAGTACATATTTATAATACCCTATTAGAGTTTGAAAATTGCACAAATTTTCTTGGACTTTATTGTAGTAGACCAATTAAGTCACACACATTTTATTGGAGTCAAGAGAGAGGGACCTAACCGAACTCACATGACCCAAGCTCTAATAGATATTTTCAATTGGGTCAACTCTTGACTAATTGAGATACATCTATTAATCCCGGTTTATTCTACCAAAAAATCGAGATTATACTCTCGAGTCGAATGATAGTTATAGAAGCAAATTATGATCCAATAATAATATCCTCTGATTATTGTTCCACAAGTCAACCTTCATTTGACCGCCAATATGTCGAAATTGACAAAATGACCGTTTTGCGCTTCAACATGTATTACCCTCTAAGTCCTATTTTTTATACGGCAAATTCGTTGTGATTAAATCACAATGTAAAGTCCAACGATCTCATCGTCGACCTGCTGAGCTCAGATTGAATTTGCCTAGGAAAATATCTTAGAGTGACAATCGACTCATCTCAATGATTAATGGATTCCACTATTGTAAGTATATGATCTCTAATT